GTTGCAAAGTTACTTATTACTTTCTATAGTTAGTAGAATATCTAAAGTGGACTATCGAAATTATATTGCTAAATAATATATTGCTAAATGTATTGCTGTTTATGAATATGCATTGCTATAGTTGTGCGCATAAATGAGAATAGTATAATATATAAATATATTTAAAGTCAGATTTAAAATTTACTAGGGGTTTGCAAACTTAAAGACATTGCTTAATCTTTATTTTCAAAAGCACCACGTGAAGAAAATACAATTGACTTGAATACACTAGAAAGTAGTAAATAGTGTATTTAAAAAGTAAATAGGAGAGAAAACAAGAAGAACAGCAATAATTAAGATTTCCTCTAAATTTGCCCAAAACATATGGCGAAAAATGGGTGGTGCCACAGGAAAACGCTCCACTAGGTAACCAGTTTATTTGCTCATGTGCAGTTTCCCCCCGACTCCAACTGTCTGTATGAATAGCATGGCAGAGGCAATTAAAACAGTGGCAATAGCTTACAAGGGTTTTATCCAGTGTTGGAAAAATCATTTATTCATGCACCCGCAACGTCAGCGTTAGAGAGGCAAGCAATTTGGCTTCCCTCCAGCCCAGCTCTGAATTCTCCTCTCTTTAAAGTCACGTTTTTAGGGGGCGTCTAGAGGAAAGACTCTGTAGTGACATTACAACAGCGGTGACAAATTATTGGGCCAACTGTCTGTGGGCACAAGTACCTGAAACCTAATGTACGTAGGGACATATTCTTCTCCCAAAGCTCCAGACTGCACAAACATAAACCTCATTAAATCACACTGGCAAGGACACAACGTTTCCTTGGCTATCTCTCTATTGATGTGCTATGTGTGAGATTATTTGTGAAGCTGAAATGTTATGTAAACAGTTTATCCTGGAAACAGAGATAATACACAGTGCCCCCGGTGGTGAATGTGTGCCCCTGCAAGACTACTCAGGGTCTCCAGACTAATAAATTACTATCAGTGAAGGACGTTACTCTCTGAAATACCCTTTCTGTGCCTTCGTTGTATAAGGGATGGCAAAAATGAAGCAACTCTGGACTTGGCTTCAGTTTTAACTAAAGCCTAAATTAAGCTTCTGAGTGGCTTTGCCACAGTTTTGACTGCATTTGCACTTTTCTTGATTGTAGAATCGTACAATTCCTACTGTTTTATTTCTATTACACGATGCACAAGAAAGATCCAGTCGCATATGGACGATTCAGTACTGAGGTGATAGAAAATGCATGCTTGATCCTGAAATAAAAAACATTTAGTCATGATTTTTTCTGGATCCGTATCTGCTGTTGTCATAAGCTATATCTGCCTTATCAAAATGAAAGGTATTTTGTGTTTTCCTCCTATTCCACAAGCTGTACACTCACTACTTTACATTGTAGCAAAGTGTCATTTCTTCAGTGTTGTCACATGAAAAGACATAATAAAATATTTACAAAAATGTGAGGGGTGTACTCACTTCTGTGAGATACTGTAAGTAAACTAGTTGCTATTCTTAAAACACGGCTCTGTTTTTTTTCATCGGATTCAAAATTAACTTTTACATGGTGTTTGCATATAAATGTGTCTTATGCTGGCTGCACACTAGACGATTTTAAAATCTTAAACGATTTTAAAACCATGGGAGACCACAGACATGAAGACTGTTCAACCGATTTTTAGCCTTATAATCCTCTGAACGCACACACTAGGTGATTCGACCAGACCACGAGACCATACACTTGTTGATTGTAGGAATGATTTCACAGTGACACGTGATCTCACGGACACTCGCGAGATCAAACGTGACTAGAGAAGAAAAACAAATAGAGGACAATCAACATTGTCAGCTGGCTCTCCTGGCGTGTGTTCTGTTTCACAGTGAAAAACAAAGTATAAAAAAGAATATGGGGGATGTTCTCTGCTTTCGTGGCATGTTTGTGGCTGCCAAGTTTCAGCTATAGAAGCACGCAACATCCAGTAGGTGACACTTGCTCGCTCTCATTGGCTATCGCGGGTAACACGTCAGAGGCAGCCCGATCAAGAGTTGTAAATATTGTTCAGGGGCATAAATTTCGTCTAACAGTAGGGGGGGACAATAAACATAAAATTTCTCAAGAGCAGTTTTTGAAGGGGAAACAAATAATACAGCTAAAATTGTACTTGTAAGGATATGTATAAATAGAGGAAACCTTACTACTATTAGTGCAGCAGGGAGACGATGGCATTATTTTAATGACAAATGTCGAGAGCGCATTATTGTAGTACGAAAGCACATTAATATAATGCGCAAGCGCAAGTCTCTTCCCTCGCACGCGGATTTTCTTTGCTCTCGCACAAAACCGGACTTGCGCTCTCAGATACATGCTACTCTTGCCCAGAGAGAGTGCGCACACTTAAAACGTGTCTCTCCTCTAACTCAAAGTGTGCGTGTGTGCGCGCAAACTGTGTCTTGTGCACTCACAAAAAAAAAATCACTTCATCCGATGTTTAAGTGAATAAAATAGCAAATTGACAGCCTTATTTACTGGTGTTCCACAACTATTGACTTACTACTTACACAATTATTTTAAGCATAAAACATTATTTACAATACACAGCATGGTTTTTAAGCCATTTTTATTTTTAGGGGGGACAACCCTCAGATAGGGGGGAAGGGGGGTCATGCCCCCCGACTATGAACATGTTTGACATTTACGATTTGAGTTTGGGGACGCTCCGTCTCGATCGGGAGCAGATAAATAATCGTAATGACACCACTCAATAGAGGATTTTTTGGACAAAAAAAACGTTTGTGACAAGCCGCGAATCGGGCCCCACCCCCCGATAATTCGGGGATGTAAATCGGGTTTAAAATCGGGCTTAAAATAGTCTAGTGTGCGGCCAGCCTTAGCAGTGTGTGGACACAACCACCCTACAATTATAAAAATCCATTCTCTCCTTTTTTTTTTTTAAATCCCCAAAAAACCTTAACAGTCTCAATTATCAAGTATGATTATGTCATACTGCTCAGGCCATGCCAATGACCGTTGACGGACTGTCCCATATTGGTATATTTGCACCCTCAGCCAGTTGTATGCTGTCCGCCATTTTCTCCATTCTCGGGCAGCTGTAGCGATATGTCTCATTACCAATGCAGGTGTTCTGTAGTTGGATATAAAAGTGAACATGACAGTCTACATGTTCTCCGGACATTAGAGCCACGGAGGACACAGTTGATTAGTTTTGATTTTGATGGTAACGCACCACTGAATACAAAAAAAACAGAAGAGAAGGGTAGGGTGAGCAGTAGCTCATTATCATTTAAAGAGTCATGCACCGAAATGGGTCGCTGTGAACAGAGCTGTTTTTGACAAGGTAAAAAGGGTGTTGCTTTACATGACCACTGAGGAATTTAAACAAAGTATGTTGCAAACATTTCATGAAAACCCTAAAAAATCATACCAACTTGTTGAAAATGGGCACCCTTTAAGCTTCCTGACCAGCAGTTCTGTTTGGTGAGGCTTGTGGCAGAAATGACACACTTCACATTTAGTAGTCTATTAGTTTAAAGTAGTTTATGCAGCAATTAGTTCCAGGTCCTCAAATCCGATGTGTATGACTGTTGTTATACAAAGGTTAAAAGAAGGAATATATGAATTAAATGACCATTTAGAAATGTAAAACACTCAGGGCCCTATCATACACCCGGCGCAATGTGATGCCAAGCGCAACACAAGTTTCAGCCCGACGCGGTTATCATTTTCACGTTCTGCGCCACGTTGTTTAAATAGCAATTGCATTTGTGCCCATTTGTGCGCCCATGGGCGTGCTGGTCTGAAAACGAGGTGTGTTCAGTTGCATTGCTGGCGCGTTGCTATTTTGAGGCAACTGAAATAGACTAACTGGTCTAAAGTCTGGCGCAATATTTTTTTTTGTACATTTGCAGTGTTATGAAGCTTCAACTGAAGTGTTTGAGTTCTGGAGTCTCGCGATGCGGTGTTACGGCAGGGAAGCGCTTGTAGCGCTGTTACCAAAATAAAAGCCAGAGGTCTTGAGCGAGAGAGCGCGAGCAAGAGCGTAAGACTTTGTGTCCAATTTTAAGCAGGCTGACTTTTGTCCAGCCCACAGGTCGTGGTCCAATCAGATGGTGGCTGCGGAGTTTAGCCACGCCCCATACTGTTCCTTATCATGCATGAATCACATGCTGTTTGTGGCGAGTATTTCTGCAAGTTTTTAAGAACTTCTTATAAAAATATCATCACCGGAAAATGATGCCGAATATCAATTTTTCACTTACATTAATGTTCTGTGAATAAAACAAGCTCTCACCCGATACTAAACTTCACCTATCTTACACACATATTAAATGCTTTGTCTGCTAAAAAAGAGTTATAAGGCAAATATTAAAATATCATAGATTCCAATAAACACATCAAATATATATATACGGCATAACACATACAGTGGATACGTCATGCAAGGTTCTGTTTCTTTTTTCTGGAGTCTCGCGATGCGGTGTTAGGGCAGGGAAGCGCTTGTAGCGCTGTTACCAAAAGGAAAGCCAGAGGTCTTGAGCGAGAGAGCGCGAGCAAGAGCGTAAGACTTTGTGTCCAATTTTAAGCAGGCTGACTTTTGTCCAGCCCACAGGTCGTGGTCCAATCAGATGGTGGCTGCGGAGTTTAGCCACGCCCCATACTGTTCCTTATCATGCATGAATCACATGCTGTTTGTGGCGAGTATTTCTGCAAGTTTTTAAGAACTTCTTATAAAAATATCATCACCGGAAAATGATGCCGAATATCAATTTTTCACTTACATTAATGTTCTGTGAATAAAACAAGCTCTCACCCGATACTAAACTTCACCTATCTTACACACATATTAAATGCTTTGTCTGCTAAAAAAGAGTTATAAGGCAAATATTAAAATATCATAGATTCCAATAAACACATCAAATATATATATACGGCATAACACATACAGTGGATACGTCATGCAAGGTTCTGTTTCTTTTGTTGTAAGAGAAGTTTGTAAGGGTTCCAGACAGGGCAGGAAGCAGGTGGTCAAAAAGTCATGTGGCGTCACACTGTATATCCCGTGCTGGCAGGCCCGAGGGGGTGATTAAATTACTGTCCTTTTCCTGTTTGGACATAATAGTTCCAGCCATTGGTGGTCACAAGACATCGTGGTTTCTATATGTTGTGAACGAACCTTTTCAGTCCTGATACAAAAACGCTTTGTTGTCTCCTGATTGGATTAATCTTTAATCACTCCTCTGAGTGGATGACGACAAGACCGGCAGGAAGTCGACCCAGAATATTGGAGTCATGTGCTGGGGGTGATAGGTACAGATACCTCATGATGGCTGATAAGGGGGAGATCTTTAGATCCTTCTGTAATATTTCTGTTTCATAATTCACATGGTGAATCCACAGCTTATGGGGGCCTGTTTCACAAGACAGAGACCTTACATAACCCTAAACCTACCCCTCACACAAAACTACTGGCATTTTTAGATTTTCAAAAAACTTAATTCTGTATGATTTATATTCTTTATATGCATGTGTGTGTATGTGTGTGTGTGTGTGTGTACATGTTTTTCTATCCTGGTGGGGACTTAAACCTGAATACACACTGACTCATGGGGACTCGTGTCACCATGGGGACCTAAATTGAGGTCCCCATGGGGGAACAAGCTTATAAATCATAGAGTGATACAATGAGTTTTGTTTTGTTTTTTAATGTAAAAATGCAGAAAGTTTTCTGTGAGTGGTAGGTTTATGTGTAGTGTTGGTGTAGGGTGATAGAATATATGGTTTGTACAGTATAAAACCATTACGCCTATGGAGAGTACCCACAAGGATAATGAACTAGACTAGAGAGAGTGTGTGTGTGTGTGTGTGTGTGTATATATATATATTTAAAAAAACAAATATGACCATTAGATTTTTATTTATTTATTTTGCATTATGCACTATTTGTAATATCCTTTTTTGGTCATTTGTATTAGGATTTTTAATAGGTTTTTTAATCATACATAACACATCACAGGCAGTATAACAAATCTTTAACAACATCGTTTTCACTGCGCTCTTTTGGTTTTTTTTTTTTTGTGTGTGTGTGTGTGTGTGTGTGTGTGTGTGTGTGTGTTGCTATACTCTTAGAACGCTTTTACAAGTCATTAATATTGAGTGGCTTTGGGCATGCTGATATTCAGAATGACTGCACATACACATGCAGTCGTTCTATCAACACAGCCGTGATATAGTCAAATACACACCAGAGCATACATAAATTGCATACATGAGAATGTATATTTAATGTATCAAATTGATATGTGCTTGTAATCATTAACATCTTATATTTAAACTAATAAAGTATTACTTGGTGGGGAAAAAAGTGTTTATTCCTTTTACAGTATTACAATACCAACTATTATTAGCAATTTATTGGACTTT